GGCTGAACTCGGGTGCATGCAATATAGAGGGAAAGAGGAGAGTTTTCTCTGGAGAGAAGTTCTATGGTTGCCTCCCACACTCGTTCTATTTCTTGACCTTCAGTGTGTCACTCTTCTGATGCCTGCTCACTCGGCAGTGCAGAAGAAAGTGTCTCTTACCTGCCGTTTGAGTGATCTCAGCCCCTCCCAGGATTCTGACACTAATAATATCTGCCCAGCTCTCAGCTTCTGCACTGAATCTGTCCCGCCGGGTGCCAGTGTCGACCTTCCTGACGCCCTTTAGGCTTCCACCCATCTGATATCATGATATTTGCTTGCTCAGGACGAACACATCCTGTCATTTAGAGCTTTTCAGGCCCAAGCTAAAGAAGGCAAGCGGCTTTTCCATCAAGTGGTAATTGACGAAATAGGCAGAAATATGGGGAGTCTACAAAGACATTGTCAATCTTCTGCATGGTGGAGAAATGAAAAGATGGACATCTACTGACCCTTTGTCTGACTGCACTGAAAGTTCCTGCTGCTGGAAATTAACATTCACATAGCATTAATGGCACCCCAGATTTTCTGTAAACTGTAGTAAAGAATACCACATTCTATAGTCTCACAATTCAGAGAAGAAGAGAAGGAGAAATAATTTCAGGAACAAATACCTGTGTTTGATTTAAACTATTCTGATTGATTGTTTGATTGATTGAGCCTTCAAGTCAAGACTCCTGGCAACTCCTTGGACAAGTCCCTGAAATTTTCTTGGCAAGATTTCAGAAATGGTTTGCCCTTGCCTTCTTCCTAGAGCTGAGAGACAGGGACTGGCCCCAGGTCACCCAGCTGGCTTTGTGCCTAAGGCTGGACTAGAACTCACCGTCTCCCGGTTTCTAGCCTGATGCCTTCACCACTACACCAAACTGGTTCTCTATACTATTTAGTGTTACTTTTTGTCAGTCTCATTTCTCCCCAAAACTCTAAAAGTTGAGGTCCTGCACATAAATGTGATCAAAGGCAAATACTAGAGAGACAAAAAAAAATACTTTGCATAACAGGTCATTAACCTAGAAAACTGGTTGCAATATGCCACTATGGTAATTATTTAATAAAGTTTATTAAAAATGAACAAATAATCATGTATGCATTCCAAAGGATTAGAGATATCAATTTCAGTGGATGGAGGAATGAAAAGAGACAATTTCATTCTTTCCTCTTTATCTATTTGTGTACCCCAGTGTGTACACTCATGTCTTTTTCTCTTCTAGGGGATACACAACATGGGATGAGATCAGGGTATCCACAAGGCATGGTTAAAAAAAAAAAAAAAGCCCAAGCTGGTGTCCATAACAGTGCAATTGAAACTCCACCCATTTTTATGCATATTGGCTTTTTTTTTACCACACCCAGCAGAGACATCTGGGTGACATTTTGAGTGGATGGGAGGGCCAAATTAAACTGTCTAGTTCTGCATGTTTTTCACTGACTTTCACAGCTTTGAAGGGCTATTTTCTGTAAAGCAGGATTTGGAGAAAGCCAGGCCTTCATGCAGCATGTGCTTTGGCCACCATTCAGGGCCAGCACTACTTATCCTGTCTCCGAAATTGTTCAACAAGAGGATCCTTCGTGGTCCTAATGTGTAATGCCCTCTGCAAACAAAAACCGCCCGGCTCTTTCGAGCGGCAGTGTGATTCTATTTTAGGGGATGGCTAGAGGGATACAGAATGGAAACCAGCCTTAAACGAAGACATTTGTAAAAACACACCAGAGTCCTAGTTGCTGAGGTCCTGAAGCATTCTGAAAGATTGGTCATAGCCTGCTACACCACTGCAGTGGAAACTTCATTTGCTAGAAATTTATCATGCTGGCACTAAGCAGAGGAATTCATGGTGGAATCCAGAAGCTACAAACATTTGGTTCCCCAATTTTGATGCGCAAGCTATATCTTCACCCTTTTGACAATCACATAACAGGTTTAACAGTATTATGGGAAGATTGGATGCACCAGGTAATATACAATTTAGAAACCATGCAGATTAAATATATGTTCTGTTAGGGATGGATGAATCATGCTATTTCTGACTTCTCTCAGTTTTGCACGTGTTCAGTCATACATTAATTCAATTTTTTTACTTTTGTTTAAAGCACATGAAAATATATATTTAAACGGAAAATCTTTTCTGCTAAGTATTTTTGCATTGAATTTCCCCTTGTATGTGCTATGTGTATATGTATGTTCCCTATAATATAATTTTGACCCGAGAACTACTGTTCATCACAAATGTCAGAGACATATAGAACCAAAGGATAACTGTGTCCCTAACTATGCATTAGGCCAACTACCATTTCAGACCGTATAAAACTCTCTAATATTTTGAAGTTTAACTGTGATATTTGTTGCTTCTTTGTTTAATAATTTTATGAAAGTTTTAAAGACAATTCACCAGTTTAACAACAAAATGTCAGGTTTTGTTACAGGTCATATTATGATTTCAATGTTTCCCATGAGTTGATAGAATACTTATTATTGATTTAAATTATTGCTTATAAAACAATTATAAACCCTCCAGATGCTATACAATGATGGTTCACCATCTTGTTTCTTCAACATATTGACTTTATCAGATTTTTTTAGTACAGCTACTGACCGAATGTTACTAAACCATTTTTCAATTGATAAATAATTTAAATATTTCTATTGCTAAGAGATGAACAATTTAGCTGCTGAAAGTAAAAAGAAAACAAGTTCCTTACTGATTGATACCACATTCTCTCCATCTAAGAATCCTAATTTTGGTGAATTCCTTAGTTATATTCTTTAGTTTAATTCTTCAGTTATAGCATTCAATTTGTTAAAAGTTTGGTTTTTTTTTAAATCTGATCTTTTTCAGAAGTTTCAAACCCTCCAACATTTTACTGGATAATTATGAAATATCTATGCAGTTATTATAGTGGTTAAATTTTATCAATGCAAAATCTTCAAATAAAATTTCTGCACAGAAGCTGTAAGAAATCCTACAGATCATCACAATGTTTGCCAGGTATTATCATCCAGCTGTCTATGTTTAACGATGATGATTCAGTTCTCCGATGCACTGCTTTAAGGGCCATAGAAAGAGGACCACAATATACAGTATGTCTCTTGAAGAAAACAATACCCAACTGGATGGTAGCAAAACTGAACCAACAGTTTTGTAGACAGGGACTGGAAAATGCGATAGCCTAAATGTGGGAGAATTGAAATATCTGTGAGAACAGAAGACCCAATTCTTGATGCATCTTCTAAATAACTTTTGTTAAGTAAAAGCCTCTGGAAGCCTTTTGTAACAGAGGAAGACATACTAAGGTCCTATCAGATGCCACTTTGAGATCTGCTGGGCAGAATGGAAAAAGGATTGCCAGGTCAACAATTTTTTGAGGGTAACTATGTTGCCAATTCAGAACACCTAGACTCAATATGAAATCAGGCAGAAGCTACTCCAGCAAATTACCTAACTCTGCAGGTAATTTCTGATTAGCTTGTTCCTTTCCTCTTGACGCTTGAGTGTTTCCATAGCAGCTAAAACCTATACAAAATGGAGACATCTGGTTTCAACTCGGGTAAAGCTCCCTTGGAGAATGGAAACCGGATGGATAACAGAAAGGAAAGAAAACATCTTTGCAGAAAGAAAGCACTAATGGCAACACCTGAAAGTGAAACCTATCAGCTGAAGCCCATGGATGACAAATAAGTCCTGTACCATCAATTAGCGTGCAAGGAAGCAGGTAGAGGATCAGGTGAAGTTAGATGGCTTGTCACACTGAGAAGATGAGCACAAGATGAAGATGTGCCTCACGAAGTTCCAGTGGGCTTCTTCTGCTTCTTCCAAAATCATTCTCATATTTTACCCAATTCACCCAACAACTGCAATTGAGTCAAAAATTAGTGATAATCTGACTGAAAGCTGCCATTATGATTCATGAAATTTATACCTTCCTGGGCTTTCTATCTTGCCTTCTTTCTCAGCTCAGAGACACAACCAACAACAACAACAACAGTAGATTCCTTCCTAGGCTATCCCACTTTAGACTGTAAGTTGGGTAAATGTATCTTTTACACACACACACACACACACAGCAACAAACACTAACTAAATGCCTTGTAAGTGGGACGTAAGCATGTCATGGAGAAAGCTAGGTTTCAATCAAATTCAATTTTTTAAATTTTCAGTGGAATCCAGTTTTCAAATAAAAAATCATTTGATCAGTGCTTTATGACAAGAAAGCTGCTTTGCTTTGCTTTGCTTTGCTTTGCTTTGGTTTCTCTTCCTTCCTTCCTTCCTTCCTTCCTTCCTTCCTTCCTTTCCTTCTTTCCCCTCCCCCCCTCCCCCTTTCTTTCTTTCTTTCTTTCTTTCTTTCTTTCTTTCTTTCTTT